GTAAAGGACAAAGGATGACATTCTGGGAATTAAAAAGAATAGGGGTGCACATGAGAATGGGGGTTGGAAAACTGACACTGAATTTTTATATATTTTTTTATTGATTTCAGAGAGAAAAAGAGAGGGAGAGAGAAATAGAAACATCAATGATGAGAGAAAATCACTGATCAGCTGCCTCCTGCACACCCCCTACTGGGGATCAACCCCAAACCCCTGGCACATGTCCTTGACTGGAATCTAACCCAGGACCCTGCAGTCCACAGGCCGACGCTCTATCCACTGAGCCAAACCAGCTAGGGCATGATCTTTTTTAAGTTAACATTATAAAAACAATACATAAGTATTTCTTATAAAAACTAAAGAAATGTTAGAAGTGTGTTTATTTTCTAAAGGATAAAATTCCAAAAGTGAAATCACTAAGTCAAAGGGGTTTTGTAGTTTAAACTTCAGATTATTTTTCAAAAACATTGTCAGAATTCCCATTAAACCTGCAATCGATGACAGGGTTGGTTTCTCCAGGATATATTTTATCTTTCTGATTTTTTCTAATCTGCTAAGTGAAAAAAAGCTATTACTTTAATTTTTATTTCTTCGATTAATAGGGAGACAGAATAACTTCTTATATGTGTACATTTTGTCTATCACGTATTTTACAATATTTAGGTTATTATTCATTTACTTTATTCCTAATTTCTTTTGCTTTACAGGAGCTTAAATTTTGTTATGTAGTCGAATAAGTCAGTCTTTTCAATGATGATTTTGTTTTTGTAACTATTTAGCAAAGATCAGTCCAAAATAAAAAATAAAAAACACACACAAAACTTTAGGCTTCTTAACTTTTGTTCTTTTACTGTTGCAATTTGTTCCAGGAGATCTTTATTTTTGTATACTGGTGAGGTTGACTCAATATATATTTTTTCCAACAGAAAGCTAGCTGTCCCCTTCAATCTGTTGAAAAGGCTATCTTTTCCTCACTGTTCAGAAATGCCACGTTCATCATATGCTAATTCATCACATATCCACTGCCATTTCTGGCTTCTCTATTCCATTTATTCAGCAAACCTTTCTTTTGAGCACATATTATGTGCCTAGAATAGGCATTTGGGAGGCGTTAGTGGTAGAGATAGAAGGTAATCTTATTGGTCCACACTTACGAACTACGTCAAGTTGTCGTAGGTACTCGGAAGAAAAATGGGGCAGGGAAATGAGATGGGGGTGTTGTGTAAGAGGTCCTCTTTCGCGAAGTGACATTTCAGGAGGGACCTTGAGGAAATGAGAGAAGTCGCTCAGAGCAGCAGGTGGATATCTAGGGGAAGAGTATGGCTGTCAGCAAACAGCAAGCACAAGATGGCCCTGCTAACCCAGTCAAGAACCAGCGAGGAGACCACTGTCTCCCAAGTAAAACAACAAGTTAAACTAGCGGGTGAGATATGGTCAGAAAGGTAGCCAGGAGCTAGAATCTGTGAGACATTTAGGACTCAGTAAGGAGTTTGGATGGTGGTGGTAGAATATTCCAGAACTGGTTGAGCATCGACCTGTGAACCAGGAGGTCACTATTCGATCCCTGGTCAGAGCACATGCCTAGGTAGTAGGCTCAATCCCTTATCGTGTAGGAGGCAGCCGATCAATGATTCTCATCCTTGATGTTTCTATCTCTCTCCCTCTCTCCCTCTCCCTCTCCCTTCCTCTCTGAAGTCAATAAAAATATATTTTAAAAAAGATACTTTCTTACTCGTTGCCTTCTTCTCATACATGTATATGTGTCCTTGTGGCAGGTCAGAGCAGAAGGCAGGAATGTATGAATGTAGTGTATATTGCATTATAAAAATCAGTACTTTTATTTTGCATTTTAAATATGTACATCCAGATTCCTTATGCCATTTGATTTTGGTTTGATCAGCATGTCATTGGTTTAGCTTTAAAAAAGACTCTAGGTCTATTTAAAAGAATCTGCACGACTCCTTCCCACTGAATAGAAAATAAGGCACTCTTTCATATCACTGTCAATTGCCTGTGGATAACATGCAGCTAGAAGTGTTGATCGCATAAATAAAATGTATACCAACAGAGTTCTAAGCTCCACTTCAATTGTTGAAAATTAATTCATTTTCAATCTTCAGAATCAGATTTCCAGAGGACAAGAAGCTTGATGGAAAAAGCAGCGGAATGCAATCAATCTCTCTTTATGGGCTTGATTTCAAACTGTTTAGGCTGTCCTGTACAATATGAGTCAGAGGGACTTGATAAATATTTCCAAGGACACTCTAGATGCCTCACCTTAGTGGGTGTGTAATTGCCTGTAAAATTCAGAATTGAAACAAGCAAAGTTGGAACAAAGGGGACTGATTAAGAATTGTATTTCTACTTTCTTAAGACCATTGCCAAAGTAGCAGGTGGCAAATTCATTGGAGAGCCACAGGAGGAAAATGGATCTTGGCAGACGGCCAGTGATTTGGGGTGAGTGTAATGCAGCCTGTGGACATAAATTGAGGAGCATTTCATTTATTTTCAGGGGTGCCACTAGTTTTATAGTGTGTTTTGCTTTGGAGCATGCTATTAACAGAATATTTCCCACCAGGTTAGGAAAAATTATTGCTCAACTATTTGAAGCCAGTAATTCTGGATTGTGACTAACTTTGTGGCATAAAATAGTTTTTTTGTAAGGGCTCACATGAATTTGAAGACCTGAGAAAAGTGTGAATATTTATAAATAGAGTTACAGTAATTAAAATGTGTTATGCGTTCATAAATATTGACCTTCACATCAGTGGCCCTGAATACACAGCCCAGAAACAGTATACCATCTATGCTAGAATTTAGCACGTAATGAAGGTAGCATTCCAAATGACTAAATCAGTTTCCAATAAATTGCAGAATACAAAATAAATATTAAAAAAAACACACAAGAACTTCCTTACATGACAAATTTCCTAGAAAAACAATGATCAGCAATTGGCAAATAATAAAACTTTTGGCTCTGCTCTTCCAATAGACAAACCTCTTATTCTGTTCACTGAATTGACTATCAGTTTCTAAGCAAGATTACAAGACAGGTGTCCCTCCCTAAGGTTATTTAATCTCATACTCTCCAGTGAAAAGACGTATAGTTACATGAGTCACATTTTATCTCTATCGCTGACTTCTTTTTATATATCTACGTCCAGTTATCAACAGAACATCTTCATCTGGCTGTCCCAAAACATTAAAATCATTATACCTCAATTGAATTTAATCTCTTTTTTCCTCAACTCATTCCTTTTCCTCCTCATAACCTGAAAACCTTGAAGACAGTCTAGCTTTCTTCTCTTTTCTTAGCCAAATACCCTCCACATATCCAATCAGTTTCCAAGCCCTATTTGATTCTACAATATTTTTAAATTCTCAACTTCAGGATATGTTTTTATTTATTTTAGAGCGAGAATAAGGGAGGGATGGAGAAAGAGAGAGAGAAGGAGAAAAAGAGAGAGAGAGGGAGAGAGATCATGTGAGAGAGAAACATCGATCAGTTGCCTCATACTTACCCCAACTGGGGATCAAACCCGCAATCTAGTTATGTGCTCTGACTGGTAATCAAACTCATAACCTTTCGGTGTATGGGATGATGCTCCAACCAGTTGAGCCACACCACCCAGGGACATTCTATCCTATCTAATAGAGAGGGAATATGCAAATTGACCATCACACCATCACAAACATGGTGGCAGCCATAGCTACAAGATGGCAGCACTCAGTTCGCTCAGCTCCACTGGAGTCCCCCAGTCCTTTCAGCCCCATCACACCTCTGCTGCTGCCACTGCCAGTAGCGCAGGCCTTGGCTGGCCCTGGTTACTTGAGCCTCAGGTGGCCCTGGGTGGCTGGGCAGCTACCATTCGAAGCTTGCCCGTACCTCGGGCTGGCCCTGGATGGCTGGGGGGCTGACGGGACTGGGTGCTTTCATCTTGTGGCTGTGGGCATTGCCATATTTGAAGGTGTGGTGGTAAATTAGCATATTCCCTCCTTATTGCCTATGGGCACCGCCATCTTTGTGGGGGCATATTCCCTTATTTATTAGATAGAATTATTGTATTATTTTGCATATGAACAACTTTAAACCTATTTTGCTCCACTCCATACATAAATAACTTTAGGGAGGGACACCTGTCTTGTCCATCTCTGCATTCTTATCACCAAGCATAGGGCCTACACAAATAATAGTTGACCAAGAGAATATCTTATTTTATACTTTTGCTTTTCTTTTGGGTTAAGTTTCCATGGCCTGAATAACTCCAATTTAACATTTAAGAAAGTTTAACTTTTGACATTTAAAGTTACATTATCTCCAGTATTTGATTTCAAGCCCAATTAACCTAAAGCGATATTCAGTTGCTAGAGAGCTAAAGATAAGGATCTGTGAACTGAGATCTAAAATAGCTCTGATTGTGAAACTGACCCTTTCTAAGCAATTATGTTGTTTTGCTATGCTTCATTTTCTCCAGTAGGAAAATGGCCCCAGTAATTCTTATCTACCCTCTTCACCAAGAATTGTTACAGCAATGATTTTTTCTATTAATGGCATTATATTAAAAATTATTTCTGCATTATTAGAAATGATAAAAATATACATTCATAAAATTAACATAAATACATGTACATGACTTAAAAATAACATGTTATTACCTTTGAAAAGTACATTTTATGCTTCATTTGGACATAACGTTCTGCAATTTGCTAAGTATTCTATAATTTTTCTCATCCATTTGACTTTTCTGAAAGAGAAAGAGTAACCTTCTGAAAGAAGCTAAGATGAATTATATGCTCCTAAGATATTTTAATGCTTCTATTTTGTCCCATATTCAATATATATATATATTATATATTTAAAAATACTTTTTGTATCTTACTTACAAAAATCTATTTCTCTCTAGGACAATGGCTGGCAAACTCATTAGTCAACAGAGCAGCAAACCTCAGCTCTCCAGCCGCATGTAGCTCGCAAGCTGCAGTTTGCCAACCGCCGCTCTGAGAAGCTGGCAACCCTCTCAATATATACAAGGCCATTTTGCACAGGGGCCATGCTAATCTTCTCTGCATTGTTCCAATTTTAGTATATGTGCTGCCGAAGTGAGCACTACAAGGCCATTTTTGAACTCCATGTAGTGTTTGTTCAACCCTGGTATCTCATTAAAAGGACTTGGGAAGCTAAAACAAAACAAAACAAAACAAAACAAAACAAAACACACACAAAAAAAACAACCCTGATTCCTCAGCCCTACCTCAAACCATTTACTGAATATCTGGGGATGGACTTTGGGCATCGTATTTTTAGAAGCTTCCCAGACATCCTACTTGACTGGCACACCTTAACAAAGAAAGTCTGAGAAACTGTCACTGAGCACAGGAGCCAAAGGAGACATGATGACCAAATATAATATAGTATCTAAAGTGAGATCTTGGAAGAGAAAAAGGAGAAGACTCTATTAAATATTGAGCCTAATTGCCAAATGCCAGCATGTATGGCCCTAAAAATCTGCCACCTTAAAGCAATAAGCTGCTTTATTTATATATTATTAGAACAGATTACATTTCTAGAGGCACTCCCAGTGGAAAGCAATGCACTAATTTTAATAGATAATTATAATCATAATCATGAAATGAATTGCCTCCAAGATGCAAAAATTCAAGAAAGAATGCGTAAAGGAGTAAAAAAAAATTACTCACAACCCATTTCTCAGAAAGGTAAGTTTAATTTTTACATCTATGAAATATATAAAAATCTGGGTTAAATATCTGCATTATGGTACCCTAGGGGTTTGAGAAAATGGTGATTTTTCTTTGCTCAGTGTTGTTGGCAGGTTGTTTCTTATCTATAAAGGAGATTGAGACCTGATCAGAAAGTTATTCAGTTTTGAGTTAATAATTTTCCTCTCTTGCCTCTCCCACTGCGGTGGGAAGGAGGCAAAGAATAAAGATCCCCTAGGCTTCCATAGTGAAGTCTACCTGGATTTGGCCCAGTCACACTTCTCTTTTCATAATCATTAAAGATATTGGTCATGTGGGTTGATCTCTAGAGCAAAGTCAGAATTGTGCCTGAAGAAATCACTCTGCACAAGTAAACATTGGGCAAACAGCAAGTGTTTGAAGATGGTGTTTCAAAAGCTTACTTTTCATTTTTTGCACACATTATCTTGTTTGAATAAAAATGAGTAACTTACAATCCAGAATTTCTGTGCAGCATCAAATGAACAAATAGTAATAATAGCCTGTGGGTAGCCACATAGGTTAAACAGCCAAGATCCCTAACTCCACGTGACATAAGGTTAAAAAAAAAATTCTCTTTTTGCAGCCTATCTCAGTTTTCCATCTGTAAAAAAAAAATGAATGTATTGAATTAAGCAATCTCCAATGTTCCTTTCAATTCGGACTTTGGGATTTGGTGAGAGGGGCTTTGAGAAACAGACGAGAGTTTTTAAGATTTTAGGTAGGGCTTTGGGTTCTAATGGGCGAGATGATGTCGAAAAAGCGGTTTGCAAGCTGGCGTTTCTAGTACCCCGGATGCTGTTAAAAAACAACACAAAAACTTACCATAATCCAGTAGGGGGATCATGACAAAATATTGACCCATTTACGTTTGCACCAAAAGCATTAGTTCCAGACCTGTGATGTACCAGGCATTGTTCTAAGGCATGATGGTTTTCTAGATCTCTGTGGTCAGAACAATGACATATTTAACATTTTATCGTTTTTAGCGATAAAAATGGGTAAAGGAGTAAGAGTAAGACAGTGACCTGTTGGAGGGTCTACTCTGTGATTGGCAGAGTAAGAAGAGCGTTCGGCTGCTAGGCAACCGCGCCTCTACGGGGGAGGCTGAGGACCCCAGCCGGAGGTGTCTAAGTAGCGCCTCTTACTTTAGTTACGCTGCCTTCTTCTCGAAACGAATGAAAGATGTAGTCTTTAATAGTACCCAATTTTTGCACAACCTTTGGCAAGCCCTAGCGTATGGGCGACCCTGCAGCTGAGTTCTGTTTGCGGTGTGTGTGTGTGTGTTTTTTCTGTTTGTTTTTTCTGTCTCCTGTTTTCAGGCGCACTGTGGGCTGCCCTCTGACTAGGCCCCTGCCGCCGCGTTGCCGGGCAGAACTGGGCGCTTCCCGCTCCTCCTTGGTCCCGCCCTCCCTCCCGGTGTCTGTCCGTCCATCCGTGGTCCTTCCCGGGCAGCCCCGGGCAGCCATGGGCCCAGAGATGGAACCGCTGTTCCTGGCCTGGAGCTATTTCAGGCGCAGGAAGTTCCAGCTCTGCGCCGATCTGTGCACGCAGATGCTGGAGAAGTCCCCTTACGACCAGGTACCCGCCAGACCCCATCGGCCCTGCGGATCCTGGGGACGAGGCAGGGGGCTCCGGGGGTGCCCAGGCCTCCGGGCGGGGGGCTCCGGGGAGGAAGGCCCGGAGTCGGGCTGACTGTGTGGTTAGTTAGCCCAGACACCGGGAGCGAGATCCCTGGAGCCGTGGCCGGCGGCTGCCTGTCCGCGGCGCACCCGAGTCCCGGAGGGACCCCCAGGATGGCTGTGCCATGGTCACCCCCTCCTCCAACTCTGGCGGTGCCTTTACTTTCTTCAAGGGTCCCAGAAAGGAACACTTAAGTCCCCGATTTTTACTTGCATGTGGATGGGCTCTTAAACTCGCTGTATTTGCGTTGTTAATTTCTAAAAACAATTATAGAGAAACTTAAGGATCTGTAACTTTCTACCTCCTGGTGCAATAGCTGCCTTCTTTTCTTTTCTTTTCTTTTCTTTTCTTTTCTTTTCTTTTCTTTTCTTTTCTTTTCTTTTCTTTTCTTTTTTGGATTAAATGTGTGATCCTCCCACTTCCTCTCAAACTGTTATCCAAGAGGGAGGAGTCTTTGATTTGATTTGGGGGCATGAGTGCAACTTATGGCCAATAAGACCAGTTAGAGGAACCTAGGAGGGGAAAAGATACATTTATTATTGAGAGGTTGGGGAAGAGACGGAAATGTCCCCCTAAAAGAAGAAATGGTGGCTATGATTAAAAGAGATTTTAAATAAACTACAGCTGATAGTTGAACTTCAAGTGTAATCTTCCGTAAAGCGGAGGAATAGGTCATATAATTTGATGCATGTGTGAGAGGTACTGATCTGGTTGACAGGTAATTCCTGGGAGAGGCAAAGGGGAGACCAAGGGATAATGGGAGCAGAGCTGTGGCAGTTAGTCACGGCTTCTAGGAAATGCAAAATAGAGTTCTTGTTTCCAAGCTCTTCCTCTAGTTAGAAAAAAACAAAACAAAACAAAAAAACCCAAAAAAACAAAAAAAGAGGGGAGATGCATAAGCAGAGGCAATGAGAGTGAACACTTCCAGGAGGCTGTGCGGTAGGTCCCAGCAAATGGATGGAGGATAACCTGTTGAGGTGGACATTTTGGCTTTCAGATAGACAGTCCGTCTCCCCTAGAACAATCCACGTTAGTGGAAACGCCAGGCTAGTTTCTCTTTGTGTTAGGTAATAGGATTGTGTTTCTGTGGGCAAGTATTTTTCCAAGTGTGCTTCTTGGGACAGTAGTACTCCGGATGATGTTAAAAAAAACAACACAAAAACCATAATTCAGTAGGGGAATCATGACAAAATATTGACCCCTTTACGTTTGTACCACAAACATTAGTTCCAGATCTGTGATGTACCAGTCATTGTTCTAGGCACGATGGTTTTCAAGATCTCTGTGGTCAGAACAATGATTAATGTTTCACCAGGAAGAGAAGTTTAGCTTGATGTTATCTTGCAAAACTGGGCTTTTGGTATCTGGATAGGGCTGCTGAAAAGTTTATAGGGTTCATTCATGTTAGATATCCTTTGAGCCAACCTTTAAACACCATACTTATGGACTGTGTGCTTTTCTTAGGACCAGTTTAGGTATTTTGAGCCCAGTTGTTATTTCAATTTGGACATATTTCAAGCCTGCTTTTCCCAACCTTGAAGAAATTCTGCTTTTTTCTTAATTAAAAAAAAAGTAGATATTTGTGTTAAGAGTACTGAGGTAATTAAGGGAGAGCTTTAGGAAGCTTAAGGAGGTTCCTTTAAGTAAAAACTTGGCAAATGCTCTTTCCTTTCCTTAGAACGAGTCCAGGATGGCAGGTCTGTAAGGTATTCACAGAGTCTGGTCCCCAGGGGCTGCCGTTGTGTATTTGCTGAATGAGCGCATTAGTCATATGCATGGATGCATGGATGCGTTTTGATGGCATTATTAATGTTTATGAAGATCATCCTTGTTGCCTGATGATCATCACTTCCAACCCTTGCCCCTCATCCTTTTTTTTTTTTTTAAATAACCTCCCTCTTCTCACACCTTTTTTTTTTTTTTTTTTTCCCTCCAGAGAGGTAGGGAGAGGGAGAGATAAATAGAAACATCAATGATAAGAGAGAATCATTATTGGCTGCATTCTGCCTGCCCCTACTGGGGATTGAGCCTGCAACCTAGGCATGTGCCCTGACTGGGAATCAAAGAGAGACCTCCTGGTTCATGGGTCGATGCTCAACCCCTGAGCCCTGTAGGCCGGGCGCCCCTCATCCTTTTTTTTTTTTTTTTTTTTTTTTTAAATATATATTTTTTGATTTTTTAAAGAGAGGAAGAGAGAGGGATAGAACGTTAGAAACATTGATGAGAGAGACATTGATCAGCTGCCTCTTGCACACCCCCTACCGGGGATGTGCCCGCAACCAAGGTACATGCCCTTGACCGGAATCGAACCCGGGACCTTTCAGTCCACTGAGCCAAACCGGTTTTGGCCGCCCCTCATCCTTAATTCTCAGGACCATTGGTTCTTAAATGTACATTTATATTTTCAAATAAATGTATTTGCATTATGGGCATAACTTAATTCATTTCTTGTTAATTAGTCCAGAAAATTCTTCTTGGATCCCTCCAGGAGAGTGTTTCTAATAGTAATTATCCTCTCTGGTATTTATCCTGTGCCACCAAACTGGTCTTGGTACAAATGAGTGATTTTGAAGCAGTGCTGGGATACACAGAAGAGCAAGGAAATGACATTATTTCTTTGGAGTGCCAAATGGATTCATGTTTGCTCTTACTTTTTTCCAAAACAAAACAGCTTTTGCTTTTGATGTTC